GTCGTCGGCGTCGTCGTCGTAGTAGTAGTAGTAGTAGTAGTGAACATGGTAGTAGCTATGGTTTGCACTTTATGGTTCGGGGGAATCACGTAACGAAGCTCCGTGAATCGGAACTCCGCAGAATGAGTCGTAGTCGACAGAACTGCAGCTTGCGAGCATGAATTGGAAATTATAGCAGCCCTGCAGATGAGATGAGCAGCATCGCAAGCCTACCACAGACTTGGGTCCCTTGGGCTCGTGCCACAAAGGGGCCTTCTGGTACACCAATCTCGCGAATGCGGAGTGGTCCAAACCTTTGCATCACAACTCACCTCACTGCATTGCCACTGCCCAGCCACCCTCATGAAGATACTGGAACTACGGTGAGTCCACTGACATCTGCAATCTATGGCCGATGCTCTGTCTCAATGGTCTCCCAAGGCCTCGGAGCTGCCCATTAATAATATAATACAGTATGATAGACTTTGTTATAATATAATCTTGTATAGTATATAATATAGCATCAAATAACATAGCAAAATGGACTGCTAGATGCATTTCGGCTGCGGTAGTGGCTCGGATGAAAAGGCGCTTGCCGCCTAGGCGAGCAAAGAGAGCCTGTAGCCGACCACATTTTGCCCGTGCCCCCGCGCTAAGGAGACGGCCAGCCACAGCCACACACATCCCCAAGACCACAGTGGATGTGCCACGAAATGGCGGCTTTTCATGTTGCAGATATTGCCGAGGATTTTTGCGAGCTGTCTATGACATGTCTACCTCTTTGCACGGTTGCCAAACAATTGACCCCGCAACATGTTAAGGCCCAATTAATGCCTATATAAGGGCGCAAAAAGTTTGCATGAAGTAATGAGGACATGGCGACGGGTCAATAGAAAGCGGCACTCAGCGGGCCAAGCGCTTCGGCATACAAGGCTCGACGGCGCTACTTAATCAACGGGGGCTCTGAACGGTCCCGAGACAAACTATGGCTCACTGCAGCCTGCACTAGGTGAAGATGTCGTAGACGAAGGCGGCTTGGATTGACCTAAAGGAACACGCAGCTCGGCGACTGCCGAGCTCCTTGTGACTTCAGCACTTGGCTCCACATGTCGCAAGTTGAGAAACAGGCTCCTTTCAGAAGAGGCCTCAAGACAGGGAAAGCCAGCATCAACCCAGCCCTTCAGTGGCATTCACAACGCATTCTTGCCTCAGGACGCGCACTTGCCGCACCTGGCGCCTTGCAACTAAAAGCATGCAGCGGCGCTCTTGGTCACACCGCTAAGAGTCACATCGGCCACAGTTCTTGCGAATACTTGCAACATTAAGCTGGCAGCAAAGGGCCGGAACTTTGGCATCCTGGGCCGCAGAAGCATCCACAACCATAAACTCACGTAGATGTAGATGTAGTCGAGAAAAAAGAATATGGACATGAACATGTACCTTACGACGTACGATGTCTAGTTACTGTATGTATGCATGCTTCATTGCTTATATATATATACATACATACATACATACATACTCCACAACCGCGCTCCCCGGGCCCGGGCGCTGCACGCCGCGCAGCTTGCGGATCTGCGAATCGCAAGCTGAGGTTTGTCTTCCCACCCGCCCAGCTGACAAAGTCGCACCGCAGGGATCTCAAGAGGCTGAAGAGGAGGAGGGAGTCAAAAGGCCAAGGCAGCAGCGGTGGTTTCAGGGTTTTTAGGATGGTTTCGACTCTCACTCTCGCACAAGGCAGGCAGGGATGGTTTAGGGGCAAATCTCAGAAATCTTCCTGCCTGCCGGCTGAGGCTGAGAAGGCATGTTGCGATGAATGAAGTCCCACTGACTTTCGCTGCCTGGCAAACTCCCCGTCCATGCTGGTGAAAACACGCTGCACAGCCCAACCAAAAGGATGCAAACTACGCTTGGGGCCTTCGCTGTCCGTGGATTCGAGGTCCTCATCACTGTCGAACAACCTTTGGTCCAAATGATGAGTGCTGCATGCTAGTCCACCAGATAGCTGTGCAAAACACGATCTGCAGTGACATTGAGAATCCAACGAATCGTTCGTATAGTCCTCAGTGGCACCTATTCCCAGCAAATTGATGCCAGCACAGTCCATCTTCTCGACTCCAATTCTTGCCACGCTCAGCAGCCATGCAGAACTTCGCTTGCACGCGTCCAAACATTTCACTAGCCCTGTTTCTTGCCTCTAGAAAGCAAGGGAGTGGAGGAAGGGAATGAAAGGATTTCTCGTTCTCATCGGCAGCATTGCATCAGGGGAAAAAGTGACATAACTCAGCCACTCAAGAGATCCCGACTTGACGCACGAGACATCTAGCTCGCATCGCCTGGACTTCACACCCCGGAACGTGCTCAAACGAATGAAGAAAACATGTGATACTACATTCTACTATCATTGCCGTTGAAGTATGTGTTGCCCCCAAACGAAGCAAAAGCTCCGTTAACAAGCGCACGCATGACAAGAGAGCCCTGGGCATCAAGAACTGTGTGATGCCGGCACCCCTCCTTCCGTTTCAAGATGTTTCGAGATAGAATACTATGATATACTATCACAATATACTATTTCAAACTATACCAATACCATGATAAACCACATGCTGATGCCGAGCAGTGAGGTTGCAAGAAGAGCTGTTGGGTCTGTTCAAGCTCCGTGCTTCAAGATCCTGCTACTTCGAACATGAGGACCCTTGTTTTGAAACTCCCAAAATGCGTTCAAGGCTTCGCTGAAAGCGGCGTTCTATGGCACCGAAATGACGATTCATTCGTTGGCCTCTCCACAGATGTGCTTGGCAGCGTGGCTTCCAAAATCCTGAGCAAGCTAGCAGCTAGCACCCGTGGACCGAGATCTCTCTGAATCGGCATTTACAGTAAGGATATTTTGGGGGGCTTGAGGGTCAAGAAATTCGGGCTCCGAGTTCGACTCTCACAACTTGGGCGGATACACGAATCGCGCGCTGCAACCGCAGGGAGGACAGCTCTTGGATTAGCATTGGAAGAAGTGCAAGAATCCAGCAGTGCCATCAAAGTCCCATGACCTTAGGTTTGAAGAGATAGATCCTGCACTGCCCATATTAGGAATGTACCATAACTCCCATAGTTTAGGGTCCTTAAGGTAATGCAGGATTTATCTCCTCAACAGCAGGTCCTTCGGTTTCGGGATTCTCGCAACTTGGACTCTCCCAAGGGCGAGGCCGGGGTTGCAGAGTTTTTGGGAGCCTCTCCCTCTTGGACTGCACGGGGGGAAACAAGGTTTTTTTTTCTTTGTGAGGGCCCTTTTATAGGGTTTAGGGTTTACGGGTTTAGGGGGAAACAGCT